TCATGAAAGCTATGAAGAAATCATCCCAGGTATCATACGAGGGAAGAGTAGATACACCACTGGTTCATGAAAGCTATGAAGAAATCATCCCAGGTATCATACGAGGGAAGAGTAGATACACCACTGGTAAAATGGTAAAAAGATGTAGCTACATCTTTTGGATTGCGAATCAGCAACAATATCTGGAAAAAAAAATCACAACATTTTATTAGTAGAGAAAGACATAACAGACTATAATATGAAGAAAATTATCATCTGCTTTTTAATTGCAGTTTGAAATATTTCCAATATCTTGTCTACTACTTGCAGAAATAGTAATTTCTTTCTAAATTCAGAAGGTTTAGAAGTATTTCACTTTGCTTCAGTACCTCATGAAGATGATTACAAATAATTATTAAAAGATCTTTCACAGAATAATCAAATTATTTATGCAGAATCTAAGTTTGTTTTGCTCGATACAAGCATAACCATCATTAATATAGTGGGGAAAAATCACAAAATTACAAGTTGTCTGTCTCTGATATTTGACCCATTGAAGACCTCCCTTGTGACAACACCATAAAATGAGTCCCATAGGAAATTGTGTCAAAAGACATTTTACTGCTGCTGGAGTTGTTCCACCCCTGCATCTCACCTGTGGAGACTGACACAAAGGTAAAAAATAAAGTAATAAATTTGCTTTGAAAAAAATATATTGAAGTGTTTGCTTCCAAGATATTAAAAGCAGCACTCACCTTCGCTTTATTTTTGAAGACAGATTTGGGAAGATTTTCAGGACGGAGATAAGTAACTACAAATCTTGGAGAAGGTAATTTATTCATTCGCTTTAAGTGTTGGAAGGAGGAAAGTGGAGATTTCAGTTAGTACAAGTGTTCTTTTAATCAGTCTATGATAAAATATTGCCTTGCTAAATTTATCAACACTTAATGGCTGATAGAAGTACTTATTTTTTGTGAGTGTTATCCTGGGATCTGAGTGGACTGCTCTGAGTAGCTCTAGTCTTCAAAAGGCCCTGAGAATGAGCAATTAGAAAAAGATTATCTATTGCTAATTCTCTTTGGCGATAATGAATCTAACATGCTCTGTTAGACAAGGGATAGAATCTGAAGGTAAGGTACAAACTCTAACTTGGGGTAGGCAAAAGCTGAAGGATCTCGAGGAGAGAGAGGAGAAGGGAGGAGGAGGAGCTTAGTAAGAAGGACAAAGGCCAGTACTTCAGTATTTGACATTTCACAAAACTCTTCTTAGATACAAAATACACTGAACTGAATTTCTGCAAGTCTTGCATGTCTAATTAGCATGTGCTCCTCTCAAGCCCTCTGAAGTGTCTGTTCTTCCCTCAGCATTTGGCAATGCAGGTGAGATTCATCCTCACCAGATGCCACCTGTAGAGAAGTGGGAGATTTCTTACTGAGCAGTGGAATATTTCCCACATCATATATTCATTACTTGAAGAACAAAATTTTTATCAACTTCATATATATTTTGTGCCCACCTCATATTTCCCAGTATCTCCAACTTCAAGGTAGGGGACGCCTAGTTCTTCATCATTCACACTGCTTTCGTTATTCTGCATTTTCTTTTGATGTATTGCTATCAGATCATTTAGGATCTGACTTACCCAGTTTGTGCCTGAAAGTGGAAAAATACAGACCTTTTGTAAAACCTCTAAAATAAACAGAAATGAATTTTCCAGGAAAGACAAGAGGTGGGTATTACTACCAGGTGAGTTTCCTGGCCTCCTCTTCTCCTGGTCTCAATCGTAGTCTCAATCTGGACAGCCTCCTTCCAGGGTCCTACCATTGCTCTTTATATTAGGGGGCTGGTTAACTCAGTTGGTTGAGCGTGGTGCTGACAACACCAAGGTCACGGGTTTGATTCCCATTCCGTCTCCATGTGTTGCCTGATCTAGTCAAGAGGTGGTGTCCCCGCCCATGACAGAGAGGTTGAATTAAATAATCTCTAAGGTCCCTTCTACCCTAGGCCGTTCTATGATTCTATGATAAGGATATATTTCTCCACCTCGAACAGTGCAGTAATTGTAGATCAACTAATAAATGAGAAGGACCACTAAGGTTCATATAGGAAAACATGCAGTATTGTAATATTTTTTACTGTGACAACTAAAAGGGAGATTGGAGTGATAAACCTGTAACTTGATACCTAGTCTATTATATATGTTTTCTGATGTGCTGTGCAGGATAATTGTGGGAAGAAAGTTGAGTCACAGAACTTCAGCACAGGAGCTGAACTAGATCTGAAAATTGTGCTGTATGTGTTCATTTTCTTTACCCATAGGCAAAAATTCTCCCAGGTGACATTAGGCTGTAGAGAACTCCCGTCTTTAGTTTACTGTTTCCTGACTTCTGGGCACCGGGTTCCTACATCAATGTCACTATAGTCTTGATAACTGCATTCTGGTGCAGAGCATTTATTTAAAAAGAAAACATGATAGAAAAGAAAGAAACTTTATAATCCTGTCAGCTGTGACCTTGTACTGTAAAACAGTGAGAATCCTGCTGGAGGAAAGAAGCAGCTACCTTAAAAAGGGTCTGAGATACAACTAACCCCAACCTGTAGCCCTGCTAAGGGCTGGCACAGGCGCTTCCAGGCAGAAGGAGGGGAGATGTAGGGTAAACTCACAAATGTAGCGAAGATGTCTTCTTGACTTCCTGTTAGTCAAAGACCAGTGTGATCACTTCAAGTGTTACAAAAATAGCTTTTGATAGTTATGGATTTCAGATATTCTTGGCATTTATGTGAAATGAACTAAAGAATGTATAGCAAGGCATATCAAGTTACCAAAAGTATCAACCTCTTAACTTTACAATTATAAATGTGAAGCAGATCCTACAATACCACAGAATCATAGCATCACAGGATTGTTGAGGCTGGACCTCTGAGATCATCAAGTACAGCCTATGACTCAACAGCATCGCAAGGGCTAGACCACGGCACCAAGTGCCACATCCAGCCTTTCCTTAAACATCTCCATGGACAGTGACTCCACCACTTCCCTGGGCAGTGCATCCCAATGCCTGATCACCCTCTCCGTGACGAATTGCTTCCTAATACCCAACCTAAACCTTCCGTGATGCAGTTTCAGGCCGTGCACCCTCGTCCTGTCACTGGTTCCCTTGGAGAAGAGCCTGACCCTCATCTGACTACACCCTCCCTTCAGGTAGTT